TAATTAATGAAGCCTCTATAGTTGGCTACGTACATTATTTTCACCTATCTTTATTTTATCTTTAGCTAATATTTTAAGTTGTCATATATACAATGATTAGTAACCCTGCATTGAAGGAGAACAATCTGGGAAGACAGATCAAGGGAATACGTGAAAACGGGTACTTGGGGGTCAGGGACAGAGGAGCAGGAGACACACATGGGAGAGTGGGGAGGCAGTGAGCAGTGGCTGCTGGACCTCTGGTCAGGAGGCCACATTTCTCCGGCCCCCCGCCTGGACTCCCCGGGGCCAAACCAATGGCCTGCTTCTTGGGTCTGATTCTTGCCCTGAGTTAAAAGACCAGAAGCAACGGTGTTCTTTTAATTAAACAGATATTAAAGATACTGCTTACGAAAACCAAGAAGCAGATGGCACTGACTTCTGGCTCTCATCCCCAGAAACAGAACAGGAGAGAGAAGAAGTGTCTATGCCTAAGACCGGGGTTCCACCGAGGTTTCCAGCATCCAGACAGGCGCATGCCTGGACAGCTGCTCAGGGCAGATGGGTCCGCTGACAGCTTAATATCGCAGAGTTCCTGGTGACTCTGCAGCCCGGGCAGCCAACGTGAGACCATCTGCTCGCCAGTGGGCAGGAAAGCTCCCCACCAGCAGGTGGCCGCTGCTGAGGCCGAGACACAAGCCAAACACTGAGGCAGCCATCTTCATAACCTCTGCTCAGCAGACCCGCCTGGCACACCGCTGGCCTGGCCGCCACGGAGGAGGAGAGCTCGCCCCGGGTCCCTGGGCCCACAGCTGGGCCACACATGACAAGGATATTTCCAGAGGCTTTCTGGTTATTTGGTGGTTTATTCTGATCTTTTTTTTTACTTAAAAAAAAAAATTTTTTTGTTACTTAAAAAAAAATTTTTTTGTTGTTGTTGTTGTGTTTTGTTTTTATGTGAGTATAGTTGACACACAATGTTACATTGAGTTTCGGGTGTGTCCAAGAGGTTTTATTTGCTTTTGTTTTTTCCAAGTATTCAGATGCTATGAGAGAGATCATTCACTCAGAAAGCTCTTTTGTTTCTGTCCACTTTTCTGAACAGGGAAAGAAAATAACCATGAATTCAGAGCCACCTACAAGAGGCCTCAAAACCAGCTGCCACTTATTATTAAAATGAAAAAAAATTTTTAGAGAAGTAACATACATTTACTGCAAAAGGTTTAGCGTGAAAAATAAATAAATCTCCCTCCAACCTCTTTCTCCCAGTAGCCTCTCTCCCCTTTTCCCCTCCAGAGATAAAGTGTTACCCATATCCTGTATACACCTACACACACATATAATGCAGACATACACGTCCTTACAGCTTTCTTATTGGCTGTATTTAAAATGAACAAAGGCTGGAGTGGCCTTCAGCTCAGGTCATGGTCCCGGGGTCCCGGGATCGAGGCCCACATCGGGCTCCCTGCTCAGCGGGAAGCCTGCTTCTCCCTCTCCCACTCCCCTGCTTGTGTTCCCTCTCTCGATGCATCTTTCTCTGTCAAATAAATTAATAAAATCTTTGAAATAATAAATACATAAATAAAATGAACAAAGGCATTTTTAGAAAAGACTGTTTTTAAGTAGGCTCCATGCCCAACGTGGGGCTCGAACTCACAACTCCAAAATCAGGAGTCACGTGCTCTCCCATGGAGCCAGCTGGGCACCCCTAAGATGAACAAGGGAATACTAAAGCCTGTGAGAAGAACCACAGTAAAGAAGCCTGTTTAACTTCATTAGCATACCCTACTTGTATGTGACTTGGGATCCCTGCACCTTCCCTCTGGAATAATTTCTAATCTGTGCAACAGAGCCAGGACTTGCTGCTCTGGCTGCCTCAGGTGTTTCTGGATGGTGTCTGTTTCTGGATGGTGTGCTTGAGCTGTCTTTTTTTTTTTTTTTTAAAATGTAAAGATTATTCCCACATTTTTCTTTTTTCTTCATTTGCCTTTCCTTATTTTCTTTGTTGCTTCTTTTCATATTGCCTATGCACGGTTCTCTTGCTCTTTTTTTCCTGGCTTATTGTTTGCTTTGGGGGGGGCAGCTGTAAGTACAGTTCTTGAGGAGGTGAGGGTGCCTGGTAGGGTGGTCCTACAGGCTTCCATTCAGGCTGTGACCTCACACTGTGTCACCTCTCTTCAAAATGCTGTGTCCTATGCGTGAGGCCGCTTCTTCCCTCAGCTGGGTGTGTCCTTTCTCTTTATCCTCCTCCCTGCACGGGGGTCAGCACGACTTAGAAGTTTCTTTAAGGCCCCAGGCACTCTTGGACCAATTTGGTCACATTTTATTTAGGATTAAAAAAAAAATCGGGTTGCCTGGGTGGCTCAGTGGGTTAAAGCCTCTGCCTTCCGCTCAGGTCACAATCCCAGAGTCCTGGGATCGAGCCCCGCATGGGGCTCTCTGCTCAGCAGGGAGCCTGCTTCCCCCTCTCTCTGCCTGCCTCCCTGCCTACTTGCGATCTCTGTCTGTCAAATAAATAAATAAAATCTTTAAAAAAAAATCTCCACATGAAAGTGGGATTGGATTATAATTTTCTTTTCTCGTGCTATCCTTATTTGTTTCGAGTTTAGCACTGTGTGGGCCTAACAAAAGACAATGCCTTTTTTTTTCTTCTAAATTTTTTACTTGTTCCTCTTGTCTCTGAAACTTGGTTGGAATGTTGCTCATGGATTTTTAAAACCTAAATCCTCTCTTTATAAATTTTTAAAGACAACCCAGATCTACTCTATCAATGGTATATTTTGTTATGTTGAGCCCTTTCCTTCCGAATTCTAACCAGAAGATCTTTTAGAATGTTCTTCAGGGAAATTATTGGGAGATAAAATATTGGTCTGGACTTAAACCCCTCTCACCTTTGGATTTCCACAATTAACCCAGGTACAAATTAGATCATGCGCCACATCACTGTACTTGTAAAACACAATATAATGTTCAGTCACAACAATGATATGACACTTGACAATAAAGGAAAACAGCTGGAACAGAAATCAAATTAACCTTTCCTCAAGAAGTCAACAGCAAGTTGATGACTAACACTAAGTCAAAATTCCAAGCCTGAATTTTCTGGGGGCTGGGATGAGGGATTTTATCTCTTATTTATACTTGACCTTTTATTCACAGAATAGGAACATCACGAATAAATTATAGGGCACCTGTGTGGTTCAGCGGGTTAAGCCTCTGCCTTCGGCTCAGGTCATGATCTCAGGGTCCTAGGATATAGCCCCATATCGGGCTCTCTGCTCAGCAGGGAGTCTGCTTCCCCCCCTCTCTCTGCCTGACTCTCTGCCTACTTGTGATTTCTCTGTCAAATTATAAATAAATAAATAAATAAATAATGAAAAATCTAGCATTTTGACAGCCTTCATCTCTTCCTTCTATTTCTAATTTTTAAAGACATTTAAAATTCTTCCATAAAGACAGGAGGGACTACAACTAGAAATGTTATTTCAGAATGCGTATGTGAGGGAGAGAAAGCAATGGATAGTTCTAGAATCAGGTTCACATTTTCTAGCATTTTAACAGGAGTTGGAATTTGCTAAACAAGGACCCAGATTGAGAAAAATAATTTCCCAGGCGAAAACTAGTCATGAGTGCAGGCATCCAAATTAAAATCCCTTGAATAGTCCTTACTTTGCTCGAACAAAATATTAGGAGGAAAATAAGCCTGCTAATTCGAGTGGCAGACATGACTGCAGAGATCTCTGTTTGCCAGGTCTTTCCCTTCCCTTCTAAATGCCACAGTATTTCTCTTGCCGCTCTTTGGCAAATGGAAGCGCATTTTTCAAAGGCCTGTTTACCATTATTTTGGGGGTAATTCTGCAGTTAGATTCTTATTTTTTTTTTTTCCACCAGATGACCATTACATATTTTTAAAAAATTTACACCACTGAAAAGCATTTAACTACAGAGGTAAAGATCTACTTTGATCTAGAATACAAGGTTTAATAACATAAAATAAACGGTCTAGGCGGCGACTTCCACAGTTACACTGCACATGCTGATCAGCAGCAATGAGCACAGTTGAACTAGACAGGGGAACATCTGACATATGTCTTCGCTTAGAAAAAGAAAAGCTATGTCTAAACTAAAGAAAAAAAATAACCCAACACTAATAAAGAAGACTCAATTACTTCTGCCAACTTGGGAAGTGTCGAGTAGGAAGAGAAGGAACTGGAGATCCGGGTCCTTTCTCAGTCACTGAGTTTTGAGAAGTGGTCTTTTCCTGGTATCAGGGTGGTGGGGAGGCAGAGACAGTCTGCCACGATGGGAAGAAGATCTGACTTTGGAGTCAGAAACACCCTACCCCAAATACGCCATGATCTCCTGTGGGAAGGAAAGCCCCATCTCTAAAACAATTCCAGTAAATAACCAGACAAAGTCACTCACCTGCTTAAAATGATTGTTCACTGGTCCACACTGCTCTCAGGATCTGTGCTGTGTATATGTCTCACATCACCGTCCACAACACTCCCCGCCCCCTCCCCCAGCATCATCTAGGTTTACTGCGAATAAGCCCCGTGCCACCCAAACTCCATGTTTTTGCACAGGTTGTTGCCTCTCTCAGAAATTCCTTTGGTCTTCATGGACTAATATGTCATCTTAAACCTGTCTTCTAATTTATATTCATATTAGACACACTCACTGATTATATCTGGAATAAACGAGAAGCAGTGATAATATGAATATAAAGTAATTTTTCTGTCTTTTGGATTTAACTCCATTTGGACTGGCAATGAAGAAATCACCAATGGGGAACTCTCATTGTTGGTTCAGCTGAAGGCTGGAGAACTAGACGATCATTCCTAATCTTGAAACCAAGCCTGGATGCTAATTTTGCCTTCTGTGAAACAGATGATTTCAGTTTTCTTATAAAGAAAAACAACTCAAATACACTGAAATTGGCCCAATACAAGTTCAGTAAGAATTATAATGAAAGATTTTATATGTTCAAAACCTGCCTCAGTTAGAAAAATCAAGTTTACCTCTTGAAATGATTCACCAGGACGCCAACAAGTTCTCCTATTCGACTCTCATGGGTTGGCTGTTTGCTGAAGAGGCAGACAATGAGGTCTTTGTTGTCTTTTGTATGGAACACTACAAGTTGGTCCTTTCCATTGGAGACGCTCAGACCAGTCAACTGCAAAGGGACAAAGCATGGAAAACTATTAAGATGGTTCTCAAAAGAATACATTTAAAAAATACATTTTGTAATTTAATAATTATTTCTGATCAGTGACCCTGATGACTTCAGTTTTTACCAGGTCTTACCCAAAAATGGAAGGAAATAATAAAGAGAAGACTAAAAATTCGTGAAACTGTAAACAGTAAAATAATAGAGAAAAATCAATGAAACAACAACCGGGTTCTTTCAAAGGACCGATAAAATTGCTAAGCCTCTAGTCTGAGAATAAAAGTGAGAATGACCTAATTACCAATATGGAATGAAGGAGGGGATAGCACTACAGACCATACAGATGTTAAAAGGATAACAAGGAAATATTCAACAACTCTGTGTACATAAATTCAAGAACTTGAATGAAACCAAATAATTCCTTGAAAATTACAAACTACCAAAACTCAGCCAAGAAGAAATAGATAACCTGAGTACTGCTTTATCTATTACAGAAATTAAATTTGTGATTAGAAACTGTTTGAAAAAAGAGGTGCCTGGGTGGCTCAGTCATTTAAGCATCTGATTTTGACTCAGGTCATGATACTGGGGTCCTGGGACTGAGCCCTGTGGCGGGCTCTGTGCTCAGTGGGGAGTCTGCTTCTCCCTCTCCCTCATGCTCTCTCCCAAATAAATAAAATCTTAAAAGAGAAAAAAAACTTTCGAAAAAGAAAACTCCAGGTTCAGATGATTTCACTGGTGAATTCTACCAAACATTTAAAGAAGAAGTAACACCAATTCTCCATATTTCTTCTTAAGGGGAAGGGAACACTTTGTAACTCATCTTATGAAGCCAGCTTTATCCAGATATCAAAAAAAGATAAAGGCAGTACAAGAAAACTGTAAATCAATATCCAATAGCCTTCATCAACATGGATGTAAGAATGGCCAACAAAATACCAAAAAGTCAAATCCAACAATATAAAGAATAATAATATACCATGACCAGGTGGAGTTTATCTAAGAAATGTAAAGATAGTTCAATATCCAGTAATTAATCAATGTAATCCATTGCTGCAATAGAATACATAAGGTACGTGATTATGTCACTTGCTGTAGAAAAAGTGATGAGGGATAGAAGCAGAAAAATGTTCACCTTTAGCCCAGAACACTGACCTATAGCCTGCAGAGTCTCAATAAGGATCAAATATACGCTGGTTGTTACATTCTTAAAGGGTCTCATGACTCCCTATACATCTCACGGATAATAATTATCAAACTGAATGATAAGCATAAGCACCAGAGAAATATTGTGAGAGTAGCTTCCCAAGTAGAGATTCAAAGAAACATTTATTTTTATTTTTTATTCTTTTGAAGATTTTATTTTTAAGTAATCTCTACACCCAACATGGGGCTCAAACTCACAACCCCAAGAACAAGAGTTGCATGCTTCACTGACTAAGCCAGGCAGGGGCCCCTCGAAGAAACATTTATGATCTAATACTCCTGGCCTGTGCCTGCCTCCTTGAGCACTAAGCATATACCCACCAGTGTCATACAGCAAAAGTGCAGCTCTTTCTGCTCATCGGTCCTGTCCCTATGCTACTTAAATAAGCTTACTAAAAGGGCACATGGGTGGCTCAGTTGGCTGGGCATCCGACTCTTGGTTTTGGCGCAGGACATGATCTGAAGGAGCCCCATGTGGGCTCTGCACTCAGTGGGAAGTCTGCTTGAGATCCTCTCTCTCTCTCTCTCTCTCTCCCTCTGCCCCCAACCCCACTGTGTGCTCTTGCACTCTCTTGCAAGTTAATGATAAACAACAACAACAACAACAACAACAACAATAAGCTTACTAATTTGCACCGCAAAACGCCCGAAGAATTCTTTTTTGGCTGTTGCACTCCATGATCCACCAGCAACCCGCATGAGGATCGTGGAGGGACTCTAAAGGCCTTGGTGTGACTTGCTAAGTCCTTTTTATCCCCCCAGCCTCTACTTCTTCTTTTCCAGAGATGCCCTGAATAGTACAACGATTCTGAATGTGTCTTAGTGCTCAAGAGAAAACCTCTTGCCTGTGGCTAGACTATGGGGAAGTCAAACTCCTGCCACCTGGCTAGATACCAGTATCTTGGCCATGATGGCGCTGGGCTCAGAAATCAGGCTCTCCCTGTTTTACCTGTTCTTTCAATACTTGCATTCTTCTCAGGCACAGGACGGACATACATGTCATTGGAATGGCCGCCCGTGTTAAGGCTCCCGAGTAAGGTTTCCTCCTAAATAACCTGGTGTGGTCCCTCAAGGAACATAAAATCTAAGATATGTCTGACCATAGCCTTCCCAATAGGGACCAGTGGGAGCTATTACACAGTTGAGGCATCTACCCACCAAAGGGAGACCGCTCCCTTGGGGCTAGATCATGGATAAAGCTCTTGAGAAGGCTGTTCAGATTAGATAGAAGTGCGGTATTTTTGGTTTTTCGTGTCTCTCCTTTGCTGTTCCCCATGGGCTGTGTGGCATTCTCCATCTTGCTTTCTGACGGTAAGTACTTCTAGCTTAGATACATGATGCTTAGTTTGATATGAAATAGCCGTCCTTCTTTACAAAGGTCATGGCCTCTACCCCATCCTTTAATACTAGATCTAGAGGCTTACCAAGGGTATTGTTATTGGTTGCCAAATATATTAACTTCCCCAAATGGAAAGAGGCAGCTCCAGTCTCTGTGGTGAGTCAGTCCATTCTCCGGCACCTACCGTAGTCGAAGATGTCACAGGGAGGCAAAGGGAGGTGATCATCCCTCCTCAGATAGTACAAAGGTGTCAGAGCGGTCCAGATCTGGGATGCCTCCTGCCACTTGGAACCCCAGGAACCTTTAGCAATATTCCTGATGGAATGCCACTTGGGAGCTGAGAAGGATTTTGGTAATGGACTCCTGGTAAAGGTACTCTCCTCGTTTGGTAGGAATTAACTATGGAATCTGCCTCTTCGATCCTAAGGATTCTCCTTTGGGCTGTCTCCTAACACACTGGAGTCCATTTGGACGAGAGGATGTAAAGAAAAAGTACCTCTTCTTCCGTAATGATGCTTGGCCTCAATCATCTCTGAGGGATGATAAAAACAAAATGGCCCATTAACAGGTCTTGAAGGTTCAACAGTATTTATCCATTGGACCGTTTTATGGGTGGCAGGGAAAATGGACTGAGACCCCACAGGGTCAGCAGCTGTACCAAATCCCTGATCTGTCCAGACGCCTGCAGGGGCTCGAGGAAGCCCCTCTCCTCACCTCTCCTCCTCAATCCACCATCAGCGAACTGCCTCAGGTCCTTCTGATAATCTACCACCTTCCCTGTGTTCTGTATGTTCTTTGTGTGCTCCCCTCCCTTGTCTCTCCTGTAAACAGGTTGTTGCCAAGATTCTGTATATGTCCCCCCTCTTTTTCCTGAGTTACTGGTCTTCTCTTTGTTTGCTTCTTCTTTTCTGTGTCAGATCTGGAATGTATCTTGAGAGGACTGGATGAACATTGCCTAACAGCACTAGACTCCTGCTGTATGGGGGGCTGTTTCTCCCTCATTCATTGCCAGGGTTAATGGCTATGATAATTGAAGCCAGTTGTCTGGTAAGTCTACCTTGCGATGGAGATCTTAAAGAACATTCCCACGCAGCTGCCGAAGCTCTTTTGCTTCAGGGAGGTTCCCTGTCTTCTCTGGCCCGACAGGGACTACCTCTTTTCACTTTCTGTTGGCGAAAAGACAACACGTGTCTCTTCGTCTGTTGGAGATGACGAGCTCTAGGACCGGGAGTCCTTTTTCACTGACCTTTGGGCTTTTATCTGCTTCCAGTCTTGCTGGTGGCACCTCACCTCTTCTGCCGCTGCCTCCCCTTCCTCCCGTTTCTGCACCACCTTGGACACGGATTGCATAACCAGTTCCTGTACGTCCTCCGTGCCTCTGCTTCTCCTCCCCCTTGTTACCGAGGAGTGAAGAGCATCTCTCCCTGGACTTACACCACCCACCTCAGATTTCCCAGTGGGTATCCCAGATAAAAACTGACAGTGGGTAACAAACTGATTGGCTTTTAGAAGACTGGGGTATAACATATTAAGCTAATTTGAATTTGCTAGTTTAATTAAGGTAGAACATGTCTTTAGAATTATCAGCATTAAATATAAAACTTCTATTCTACCAAGGTTTACCACAGGTCAAATAAGCTCTTGTTATCTCTGTTGCAACTTGTCAGCAAAAAGGTGACTTCAATGATGGTTAATTTTGTCTCAAAGTTTTCGTGGGTAATTGCTAAGAACAAGTAGGGTGAATAAATGAAAGGCTTATAAGTAAAACTTTTAAATAGCTTTCAAAATTTTGGGTAACCTAAATCTTTGAAGTTTTGCTAAGTTAAATGATGAATTGGATTGAATTAACTGGATATCTAAGTCTTTCCCAAATAAATATGAAAGCATTGTTTACTCAATGTAGGTTTGTGCTTTTGGCTTCTTACCATGGAGAAACCGAGGATACTTGGATCTGCCGGTCAACATGGTTTTAGAATTTATGAACTGTGTTCATAAATCTCAGATCTAAAGAATTCTGGTGTAAGAGGCTGTTCACAGTTAATTGGTTACTACTTAATTTTCTCTGGAGATTAAGGTTTCTAAGAGTTAAAACTCTGCTAAATGTAATTAAGACTGATGGAAATAAGGAAAACAACTCTGTCTGCAGGAAAGTAGGGGACATATGAGAAAGATACAAGGAATGGGAATACCTTTTTTTGAGGGAAAAAGAAATTCTGTCCTAAAATGAGACCGGTTGCTTGGAGAGAAAAGGCTTATTAGGACAAAATCTGAATGAAAAAGAAAGTTGCAGAAGGTTTGTGAAGGGAAATCTTTGGAAAAGAATTTTATGCATGGTCAGGACTAAGGTTGAAATAAATGGATTTTAAAAGTATACAGGTATAGGGGTGCCTGGGTGGCTCAGTGGGTTAAGCCTCTGCCTTTGGCTCAGGTCATGATCCCGGGTCCTGGGGTCGAGCCCTGC